GCCCCCGGCGGCAGCAGCAGCAGCAGCAGCGGCAGCAGCAGAAACAGAGACAGCCGAGAAGCGGTATGCTTCCGTTTTATTAAGGAGGGCTGCGTGTTTTCATTTGTCAATACACAACAGCAGAACAGCCACCGCTGCTGCTGCTGCTGCTGCTGCTGCTACGCATGCAGCAGCCGCTGCCGACTGAGGCGGGCAGCAGCAGACAGAAGGCCTCTACGAGCAGCAACTCGGAAAAAAGCAGCAGCAGCAGCAACAGCAGCAACAGCAGCAGGGGCAACAGCAGCATCAGCAACAGCTCAGCATGTCTCAGCAGCCGCAACAGTAGTAGCAGCAGCAGCAACAGCAGCAGCAACAGCAAAGGCAGCAAACGCAAGGCGAGCAGCATTAGCTGCTGCTGCGCAGAGACAATATGTCAGCAGCTGCTGCCCGCGAGGCGGCTGCTGCTTCTAGCGGCAGCAGCGGTTCAACTGCAGCAGCAACAGCAGCAGCAGCAGCGGCAATAGCAGCAACACCGCCAGCAGCAGGATCTGCCGCTGCTGCTGCTGCTGCTGATCCTGTGGTTTCCTTCTTGCTGCAGGATGATCAGCAGCTGCAGCAGCACATCGAGCTCTGTACTGAGTTGCTGCAGCAGCTGCTACTTAATAGCAAGCGGAAGCAGCAGCAACAACACATTAGGGAGCAGTTGCTGCCGGAGCTGCAGCAGCTGCAGCAGCAGGCAGAAGCAAAGACAGCGCGGCTGGCGCAGCAGCTGAGGGCAGCAGCAAAAACAGCAGAAGCGATTAGCGAGCCCATTAGGAAGCTGCAGCAGCAGCAGCAACTGCTGCAGCAAGCAGCAGATATAGCGAAGCAAATAAATGCTATACGCACACAACAGAGTATGCGTGGCTCCCTGTGTTTCTCTTCTTGCTGCTGCTGCTGCTGTTACTGCTGCTGCTGCTTCGGTCCCTGCTGTGGTTGCATTTGCTGCTGCTGCTGCTGCTGCTGCTTTTGCTGCAGATGTGGTGGGGTGTGTCTTGCATCTAACCATAAATCTGCTGCTTGTGCTGGTGCTGTTGCTGCTGCTGCTGCTGCAGAACGTGCTGCTGCTGCACTGGAAGAGGGGGATGTGCTGCTGGCTGCTGCATGCATTAGTAGCTGCCTATACACCCGAGATAACTTCGAGCGAATAGACGAGCAGTATCAGCAGCAGCAGCAGGGAGAAGCAGCAGCACCTGAAGGCATCTGCAGAGCAGAGGCTGGTGTGCTGCAGCAACTGCAACAGCAGCAACAGCAGCTGCTGCAGCACCTCAACAAGCGTCTGGCCGCCGTGGCGCGGAGACTCGTAGCAGCAGCACTGCAACAGCAGCAGCAGCAGCAGCAGCAAATGTCTCGTTTGGATACAGGGGGCAGCGCAGACAACCCGGAGCAGCAGCAGGAGCTGGATCAGCAAGACCGGGACGAGCAGCAGCAGCAGCAGCAGGAGCAGCAGGCAGAATTGTCTTTGTTGCTGCGGTGCTACTTTTTGCTGCGGAGAGGTGCTGCAGCAGTTAGAGGGTTTTGTCGATGTGCTGCAGAAGCCCTAGCAGATGATTGCTCCAGATACTTCAAGTAATTAGGGTTTAGGGTTTAGGGTTTAGGGTTTAGGGTTTAGGGTTTAGGGTTTAGGGCTTAGGGCTTCATTGTTCGCCTCTTTCTGCGTCAGCAGTCGTCCTGCTTTGGCCTTTCTCCATCAGGCTGAGGCGTCTTGCTGCTGCTGCTGCTGTTGCTGCTGCTGCTGCTGCTGCTGCAGGGTGCTGCTGCAGCCGCAGAAGCAGACGGGATCAGGGAAGCCGCATGCAGCGCTGCTGCATCGGCTTTTTAACAACATCTCCAAGGTTGCTGCAGTGCAGCAGGTAGTTGCTGCTGCTGCTGTTGCTGATGCTGCTGCTGCTGAACCTTATTCTGCGTTCGTTGGCTGTTGCTGCTGCGCCTCCTCTTTGACAGCGCTGCAGCGGCTGCTGCTGCTCCGGCTGTCGAGCCGCTGTTGCTGCTGCTGCGGTGGCTTCTGCTCACCCTGCTGCTGCTGCTGCTACTGCTGCTGCTGCTGCAGGTCCTACGATCTGCGGTGCTGGCAGTGGCGGGCCGCTACTCGAGGGAAATCTCTGGCGGCGAAGCCGATGGTGACGGTGCTGCTGCTGCTGCTGCTGCTGCAGCAGAAGCAGCAGCTTCTGCTGCAGCGGGAGCCCCTGCAGCAGCAGCAGCAGCAGCATTTTTCTTAGCAGCAATTTCTCAGGAGCTGGACGTGCAAGGCGTGAGGGTCCTCAACCATTTCCTTGACGCCAAGTCAGCTGCCGCTGCTGCTGCTGCTGCTGCTGCTGTTGCTGTTGCAGTTGGTGCTGCTGCTGTTGCCCTGCTGCAACGGGCCGTGCTGCAGCACAGCCTTTACTTCTAACGGACACTTCAAACAGCAGCAGCAGCAGCTGCTGCTGCAGCTGCCGCCGTTGCTGTTGCTGCTTGATGGCCTGTTTGTGCTTCTGCTGCTGCTCTGTTAGCAGATGCAGGGCGCAGTGCCGGTGTTGCTGCATTTGCTGCTGTTGCTGTTGCTGTTGCTGCTGCTGCTGCTGCTGCTGCAGGCAGGACTTCTTCGCATTCAGAAAGACAGAGGGAACGGAGAGAGACCCGGAAGCCCTCAGGTGAAGCACCTACGCCCAGCAGCAGCAGCAGCAGCAACAACAGCAGCAGCAGTAGAAACAGCAACAGCAGCAGCTGTAGCAGCAGCTGCAGCAAGTGCATCTGGTTGGGCAGGTGCCTTTCGTGCTGCAGCGCATTGCGCTAGGCGCTCTTTGCTGCTGCTTTTGCTGCTGCTTTCGCTGCTGCGATTTGGGCATTGCTGCTGTTGCGTTGCCTCTCATGTTGCCACGTGCATGCATCCTGCTGCTGCTGCTGCTGCTGCTGCTACTGCTGCTGCTGTTTCCTGCAGAAAGGTCGAGACGCGGTTGGAGGAGTGTGTGCTGCTGAGCCGCTGCTGCAGCAAGACGCATGCAGCGCTGCTGCAGCAGTTTCGAGCAGCACTGGGCAGCGCTGCTGCTGTTCCTGCAGATGCCGCAGCAGACGGCAGCAGCAGCAGCAACAGCAGCAGCAGCAACAGCAGCAGCAGCAGCAGCAGCAGCAGTCGGCTTCGGAATGAGAGTAATGCGGTGGCCGAAATGTTGACGCAGCAGCAGGTGGGGAGCAGCAGGTGTTGGTGTTGTTGTTGCTGCTGCTGCTGCAGCAGCAGCGAGACTGAGAGAAGAAGCAAAAGACAAAGCAAAAAATAAAAACAAAGACGAATGAAGATATAAATGATAATACAAACAAACCACCGCTGAGAGCCCTTTCCCTCTCTTACTTGCATGGGGTTATGCCTCATAGATATCTTACTGCTGCTGTTGCTGCTGCTGCTCTTGCTGCTGCTGCTGCTGCTGCTGCTGCAGGTTCGCCAGGTTGAGCATCCGGCGCTGATGCAGCGACGAGAGGAATTAGTGGCGGAGTACATCGCCCTTGAGCATGCACTCATGCTTTGGTGTGTTTCTTGCTGCTGCTGTTGCTGCTGCTGCTGTTGCTGCCGCTGTTGCTGCTGTTGCTGCTGCTGCTGCTGCAGTGACTGCGGGTGTTTGCTTTGCTTTCTTCAGGGCTGTGCGGGAGGCGCTGGAGGTGCAGGATGAATTGCCGTTTGCTGCTGCTGCTGCAGCAGCAGCAGCAGGGCGAAACGCAGGCGAGGGTTCGGTTGGAGCAGCAGAAGCAGCAGCAGCGCAGCAGCAGCGTTTAGCAGCATTAAAAGAAGCAGAAGAAGAAGCACTCAGAGGGGGTGAAGGCCTTTACAGCACTATGGCTGAGGACCTCTTCTTTGTGCTGCAGGCTTCGGTGCAACGCGCCCTAAGGTCTGCTGCTGCTGCTGCTGCTGCTGCTGTTGCCGCATGTGCTGCTGTTGTTGCTGCTGCTACTGTTGTTGCTGGTGCTGTTGTTGCTGCTGCTGCTGTTGTTGCTGTTGCTGTTGTTGCTGCTGGTGGTGCTGCTCTCGTCGGTGCTGCTGCTTCACTGCTTCTGCATGTGCCGCTACTGCTTGTGCTGCTTATGTTTTGCTGCATTTGCTGTTGCTTTTACCTATGCTGCTGTTGCTGCGTTTGCTGCGTTTGCTGCTGCTGCTGCTGCTGCTGCTGCAGGTCCGGCGACAGCCTAGCTTTATGTGCTTTACTAAATCATGTTGCTGCTGCACTGCGCGGCGAAGTGCTGGGGGCCTTAAAGAGCAGCTTAGAGGGAGGGAAGACTACTTATTCTTCTTTTATTCAGGTGTATCTTCATTTATTTATTTATTTATTTGTTTATTTGTTTATTTGTTTATTTGTTTTAATGTCGCTAATGTCTCCTCTGCTCTCTGTCTCTTTATCTTTGTTTTTCTCTTCGTCTGTCTCTCTCATCTTTTTTACTTCTTTATTTATCTATATGTTTATTTGTTTTATTTATTTATTTATTTATTTTGTTTGTTTGTTTGATTATTTATTTATTTGTTTTATTTATATATTTACTTATTTATCCCCTCACTGCGGTGTACAGGCACCTCTATTGAAACGATTTTAATATATTTTTTTTGTATTTGTTCAGGACGAGCACCGCCTTATGCATTATTCATTTGTTAATTCAATTGAAGCCAAATATGAAGGAAAAGCCCTGCCAGATAAACTCAGTGCGCTTGCTGCTGCTGCTGCGTATGCAGCTGTTGCTGCAGCTGCTGCTGTTGCTGCTGCTGCTACTGCTGCATTCGCATCTGCTGTTGCTTCTGTCGCTGCTGCTGCGTATGCTGCTGCTAGCCTTTTGTTTGTGCTATTGCAGCAACAGCTACTCAAGTGCTGCAGCTGCTGCAACAGAAAGAGGTGCTGCTGCTGCTGCTTCTTCTCCTAATGCTGCTGCTCCTGCTGCTGCTCTTGCTGCTGCTGCTGCTGCTGCAGGAGCCTGTCATTGCTGGCCCGTCGCTGTCAACAACGTACAGCTGTGTCTCTCTTCCCTTGCTAACTTTAAGGCTGTTACTCAAAACGCAATGCTGCAGCAGCACCAGCAGCAGCAGCAACAACAACAACAAGATCCAGCAGCAGCAGCAGATGCAGAAGGCGAAGGCAAATCCCCGCTTCTTATTATGCATTACACGCTGCAAGTGGGTAGACACTTCGGCTGCAGCTTCTGCTGCTGCTCTTGCGTTGCTGCTGCTGCTGCTGCTGCTGCTGCTGCACCCGTTGAGGCTGTGCGGCAGCTGCCTCCTTTCCTACTACTCTTGCTGATGCTGCTGCTGTTGACGCTGGATGCTGCTGCTGCTGCAGGAGCTGGACGGAGCAGCAGAGGCGCTGCAGCAGCTGCACCACCGCAGCTGCAGTCTAACGATAAGATTTTTTCAGGTGTATTGGCAGCACTGCTTTGAGCTGCTTAAAATGTGCGATTTCGATCGGGATGCAGCTTTGATGGTGAGCTGCTGCTGCTGCGAGTGCTGCTGCTGCTGCTGCTGCTGAGGGTGCTGCTGCTGCTGCACTAGCAGCGGGCGTTGGTGTATGTTTGCTGCTGCTGTTTGCTGCGACGTTGTCTTTTGCTGTCTCTGACTGTCTGTCTCCTTGCTGTTGCTGCTGCTGTTGCTGCTTCTGTTTTGCTCTGCTGGCTGCCTGTGCTTATGCCTGTGCTTATGACTCTGCTGCATTTGCTGCTGCTGCTGCTGCTGCTGCAGCAAGAAGGGTGTTTGCTGGGGTGTACGTGGAGGTTGAAGCTGCAGCGGCTCTTCGGTTTGTTAGGGACGCACTTTAGCCGCTTCTTTGATTCTAAAGGGCAGGCAACTCTCTGCGATTTGCTGCTCGATCTCGTCAGTCTGCTGCTGCTGCTGCTGTTGTTGCTGCTGCTGCTGCTGGTGCTGTCTGTGGCTGTGTGGGTTCCGCTGCTCTATCTGCTGCTGTCGTCTCTATCGAGTGCGGCGGTTTCATAGGCTGCTGCTGCTGCATTTTGCTGCTGCTGCTGCATTTTGCTGCTGCTGCTGCTGCTGCTGCAGGTCGTGAAGCAGCTAGAAGCAGGGTTAATGCAGAAGACGTATACTGCTGCTGCGGGTATGACTGCGAGTCAAGAGACTCGGAGCCTTTGTTTGGTGGTGCAGCGGCTAAGCCTGAATGCTGCTGCAGGCAGCAGCAGCAGCAGCAGCAGATTCGAACACCGCGAAGCAGCAGCAGCAGCAACGGCAGCAGCAGCAGCAAATCGATGCTCCTTCTTCGATGATTTTGAAGATGAAGAGGAGAGCCTTGCAGGCATTCATATCAATTACCCAGAACCTGTTCGCTCCAAGGTAATTGCTGCTGCTGCTGCTGCTGCTGCTATTAGTGTTGGTGTTGCTGCTGCTGCTGCTGCTGCTATTAGTGTTGGTGTTGCTGCTGCTGCTGCTGCTTCAATTAGGGTTGATGGTGCTGCTGCTGCCACTGCTGCATCTGCTTCTGAGGAAGGTTTCTGCAGGTCGCGGCTGCTGCTGCTGCTGCTGCTTTTATTTGTTGGTGCTGCTGTTGCTTCAAAGGCCTTCTGCAGTCGCCTCAGCATCAGTTCCAGCAAGCAGAGCAGCAGCAGCAACAGCAGCAACTGCAGCAGCAGCAGCAACAACAATCGTTTGTGTTGTCTGTTTTGCTGCTCTTCAGTTTGGTCGCGTGTTTGAAATCGGAGAGCTTCTCAGCCTCCCCTCCCTCAGCGAGGTCTCTGATCTGCTCGGTGTGCTGCTGCTGCTGCTGCTGCTGTTGCTGTTGTTGCTGCTGCTGCTGCTGCTGGTGCCCACGCTGGTGCTGCGCGTCTTGATACTGTTGCTGCTGTTGCTGCTGCAAGGGGTCAACCTGTTGCTGCTGCTGCTGCTGCTCGATTTGTCTCAGGGGAGGTGGAAGGCGGACGGTCGCTGCTCTCTCTTGAAGAAATTAAAGCTGTGAGCTGTTGCGGCTGCTGCTGTTGCTGCCGCTGCTGGTACTGCTGCTGCTCCTGTGGTTGTTTCTGCTGCGGTTGTATGTGTTGCTGCTGTTTTGCTGCTGCAGTTCTTGCGGCTGCTACGACTCCAAGGAGCGTGCTACTGCTCTGCACCTATCTGTTGCTGTTTTTGCTGCTGCTGCTGCTGCTGCTCTTTGCTGCTGCTGCAGGTCCTGCGGCTTCGCGTGGATTTCTCTGACAATGAAATTGAGGAGACGCTCGCCAGCTTCAAGCCGCTGTCCGGCTGAGGCAGCAGCAGCAGCAGCAATAACAAGAGAAGCACCGCTAGTAGCAATAGAAGCAGCATCTCTAGCAATAGAAGCAGCAGCAGGAGCAGCAGCAATAGAAGCAGCAGCAGCCACAGGAAGAGCAGCACCATTCTGTCAAAGCAAGCGAACGCTGCAGCAGCAGCCGCAGCGGCAGCAGGAGTTCGTGCTGCTGCTGCTGCTGCTGCAGCTGCTGCTTGAGTTACATTTGGGCTGCGTAGATGGTCAGCCGCCGTGCGTGTGGATAGACCGAACAGCAAGTGCTACTGATGCTGCTGCAGCTCCTGCTGCTGCTGCTGCTGCAGGCGCACTCTATAGAAGCAGACGAACGCGACAGCAGCAGCAGCAGCAGCTTTTCGCGCTTCAGCTGCACCAGCTGTTTTGGCTCGAAGCAGCAGCATCACTAACTGCAGCGACAGCAGCAGTGACAGCACCAGCAGCAACATACGCAGCAGCAGCAGCAGTAACAGCAGCAGCAGCAGCAGTAGCCATGACTGCCGTTAAATATCTCAGTACAGCAGCACCAGCATGTTTAGGAGCAGCAGAACTGCGCGGCGCAGCAGCAGCAACTGCCGCTGCTGCTGCTGCTGCTGCCGCACTTTCTGCATACAGCACAACTGAAGCTAATCAAATTATGTCTTTTATAACTTGATGGCAGTCAAAACAAGAAAACATACGGTAAGTTGCTTCTGCCCTATCCTGGCTGCTGCTGCTGCTGCTGCAGCTGCTGCTAAATGAATGCTGCAGCAGCGAGACCGCTGCAGAAGCAATTGTAAATGACAAAAAAAAGCAAGCAGCAGCAGCAGCAGCAGCAGTTGTCACTGCTGCTGCTGCTGCTGCTGAGCACTGGCTGCACATACGGCTGTTGCTGCAGACACCCAAAACCACCAGCAGCGGCAACAACAACAGCAGCAGCACCAGCAGCTCCAGCAGCTGCAGCAGCAGCAGCAGCAGTTGCTGCTGCTGTTTTGAAGATGCCAAAAATTCAAAGGCTTCATTATGCTCAGCTGCTGCTGCTGCAGTGCCGGCAGCAGCTGCCAAGCGCTACATGGAGCCCACCACTGTTGCTGCCGCGGCTGTTGCTGCTGCCGCTGTTGCTGCTGCTGCTGTTTCTGCTGCTGCTGTTGCTGCTGCTGCATGCAGCATAAAAGCGAGGCCCCGTTGCTCCTCGGCATTGCTTCCATCACTACTGCTTTGCTGCTGCAGCGAGTTACGCACTGGCTAGAGGAGGCGCTGCTGCTGGTGCTGCTGCAGTTGCTGCTGCTGCTGCTGTGGGGTTTAGCTGCTGCATTTCATCATTCAATTCATCTCCCGCCCAAAAGGGTTGGTCTTCTTCTACCTCCATTTGCTTCTGGGAGTCGTTGCTGCTGTTGCTGCTGTTGCTGCTGTTCTTGCTGCTGTTGCTGCCGCGGTTGCAGCTGCTGCCTGCTTCTGCTGCCCACTCTTCAACGCGAGCCAGCACAGCCCTTGCACGCAACCTGCAGCAGCAGCAGCAGCAGCAGCAGCAGCAACAGCAGCAGAGGCAAGGGGAGTGGAAAGCTTCTGCTTCACCGGCTGTAGCAGCGTATGCTGCAGCAGCAGCACCAACAGCAGCAGGGACAGCAGCTGCAGCAGTAGGAGCAGCGGGAACAGCGGCAGTAGTAGGAGCAGAACCAGCAGCAGCAGCACCAGCAGCAGCAGCAACAGCAGCAACAACTGCAGCAGCAGCAACAACAGCAACAACAAGCTGTTCTGACTCTTTTTGTTTAAATACAACGAAGAGAGTAACAAGAGTAGCAGCAACAGCCATGCCCAGCAATACACCGCGCAGCAGCGCTGCTTTTCTTGTCCTTTCTTCTTCTCCTCCAGCAGCAAACCCCCTCAGCAGCTGACTATTTGCTGCTGCTGCTGCTGCTGCTTCTGACGGTGATGCTGCTGCTGCTCCTCCGGAAGATGCTGCGGCAGACAATGCTGCTGTGTTGTGAGCTGCCACACATAAACGATGACAGCAACCCTAAACCCTAAACCCTAAACCCTAGGTGACTAGGTTGTCAATAGCTTTCGCTAAACCCTAAACCCTAAGCCTTAAACCCTAAGTCCTAAACCCTAAATGATTGAGGTTAAACCCTCACGTGAACAAGGGGGGCCGCAGACGCCCTCTTCAATTTCCCTGAGACAGTTGGCTCCTGTTGCTGCTGTTGCTGCTGTTGCTGCTGCTGCTGTTGCTGCTGTTGCTGCTGCTGCTTCAGCAGGGAGGAGCCGGCGACGGTGGCGAAGGCAATCGGCTCTGCAGGGACCCCAATCGGCCCATTCACCCTTAGGGCAATTTGCTGCTGCTGCTGCTGCTGCTGCTTCTGCTGCTGCTGCTGCTGCAGATGCACACAGAACACCCGCAGCTGCAGCAATCCTACTTATGTGCAGAAAGAACAGACCGCAGCAGCCAAGCAGGATCTACTAGCGGAGCAGCAGCAGTAGTAGCAACAGCAGCGACAGAAGCAGCAGCTAACCCCCTGCGTCTGCTGCAGCATAACACCGGCTGTTTCTGCTGCTGCTGCAGGACCGATGTTCAACTGTAGGAGGGCAGGGATCTCCCAGCAGCAAAATGTCTCTGCTGCGCGTCTCCTGCCTTATCGCTCTGCTGCTGCTGCTGCTGCTGCTGCAGTCCCCGCAGCCACTCCAGGGGGACCAACTTGAGAGGAGACAGCCGCCTAATAGCAACGCAAGAAAAGAGAGAAAGAGACAGAAAAAATAAAAACTAACAATAAAATTAAAACTTAAATTAAATTAAATTAAATTAAATTAAATTAAAAATAATAAAAATAATAAAAATGAAAAAGAAGGCAAACAAAGACAAGGAAAAATAAACAAACAAACAAACAAACAAAGAAAAAGACAAGCAGCAGCAGCAGCAGCAGCAGCAGCAGCAGCAGCAGATAAACCCTTAAACCAAACAAACAAACAAAAAGAAGAGACAGAGCACAACTCAGCAGCGCCTCACTGCAGCTTGGGGTGTCTCTGCAGGGCAATACTTGCAGCAGCAAATCTTTACAAACGACGCCCTTAGGCTGCTGCTGCTGCTGCCGCCTCCGCTGCTGCTGCCCAAAGCCGCAGCGCCCGCTGCAGGGGCCCCATGGACCCCACGGGGTGTACAGACACTCCGATGCTGCAAACAAACAAACCCCTAAACACTAAACCCTCTAGACACTCCGCTGCTGCACACAAACCAAACCCTAAACCCTAAACCCTAAAGAATGAACCCTAAACCCTAAACCAGTTTCCAGCACACTGAACTCGTAGCCTACATAACTAAACAAAAAACCCCCTCTCTTACACCCAACCTCAAACCCTAAACCCTAAACCCTAAACCCTAAACACTAAGCCCTAGGTGCGGTCTCACCTCCACACGATTCTTCGTTGCAGCTTTCTATTTGTGTGTCTGAAGCACCCCACACATCCCCTTCGTGCTGCTGTGGCTGCTGCTGCTGCACTAAATGCTGCTGCTGGTGCTGCATCAGCTGTTGCTGCTGTTGCATCAGCTGCTGCTGTTGAAATGGTTGCATCGGAAGCATCTGAAGCTGCTGCTGCAGCAGGTGCTGCTGCTGCTGAATTAGCTGCTGCTGATTCAGTGGCTGCAGCAGCAGCAGCTGCTGCTGCTGATGAGGCAGCA